TATATTATACATACAATACATATGAACTAAAAAATAACTAAACTATATGAAAATAATACAACTCTGTTTCTTATTATACATACGATAGGGGAGACCGGGACTGGTTGTGACATTTTTTCTATAAAGTGTCTCAACTCTTTGATTATGTTGTTCTTATAAATGAATCTAGGTTTGCTAGATTCAGTAACTAATCGGGATTTAAATTTAATAATAATTTTATCTAACCGCTTATTAGAAATTATATAAATTAAAAAATTCTGAAAAAAGAGACATGTAACTTTTTATCCCACACCAGGGGCTGGTTGTTACACCACACGGAGTAAATTGTTTTAATTTTAAGATTAAATATTAAAACACAAATATTTGTAAAGTTTATAAAAGTAAGGTTTATTGTAAACAGAAGAAATTAGAGAGTATATACCACAACATACACATTTCTGCTTATTTAGATAACAAGTGCTAGACCAATAGACAAACCTGCGTTTTTGACGGTTGCTTGTCCGGGCTCCTCTCACAAGAACGCCAGCGCCACTAGCTCGCGCGGTATGTCTTCCGACACTGGCGTGATCATTTATCTCTTTCTAACGTTACTATAGCGTTTTCGGTTTAGCTACCGTTGGCACTGTAACAACCTACCCGTGTAACAACCAGCCCCAGTCTCCCCTATATATTCGTAAAATTTGTATTTGTATTTATTTAGATTTAATGCATATTTGATTCGCCCATTTTTGTATAAAACAAATGACTGACTTTTATGCTTAAAGAATATTTCAGTCTTAATATTTCTACTTATTTTATCTTAAAAATCTTATTTTAATATCCGCCTATCTTTTATGATATAATTATTTTTAATAAGTTGTGTTATCTGTTTGATTTGTGCAATATCTTATGAGTGTTTGACGAATTGGTTTATTCGCTATTGTGTTATCTGTTTGATTTGTGCAATATCTTATGAGTGATTGACGAATTGGTTTATTCGCTAATCTTAAAATCATAGATTATACATTTTCTTCGTCGAGAAAAAATAATGCTTCCACTTCACTTTGTATCATAAAATTTATTAAGTCCATAATTAAATTGTTTTTTTTTCCGGATTGTTAATGATAATTACATTCAAATCACATCAAATTTGCCAAAACATTCTTAAAACAACTTATTATTGATAACAACTTTCTTATTTTTTGTTATTAAATAAGAGTTATAGATAAGTTAGTCCAAGATAACATTAAAAACCAATTTAGTTCACAGAATAGATTTATCTCTAAATTTATAGTAACGCGGCAATTATTAAAAATAACGAGATCAAAACAAAAATTTATTGCTAATATAGTATTAGTTCGATGTGTAATAAAAAGATTAAAAACACGATATCCCTTTATATTGCTACGATTCTTTGTGTTATAATAAAGGATATTATAGAATATTCCATGTTGCAAAAAATATTAAATATCATATGTGAAACATCAGATATGTAGAAAGAATTAATTATCAAAGTGATAAAATAAAAAAGTTCTGATAACGAGTATTAATCTTATTTCGCTAAATAATAACAATATTTTTACTAGAATTTATAATTTAATAAAATGAGTTATAAATCGAATTAAAAGTGAGTTATATCAAAATAAATAGTAATTTTTCTTTACCGCGTAATAAGATTTATTTTACTAAAAGATAAAATAAATCTTAGTAATAAGATTTATTTTACTAAAAGATAAAATAAATCTTATTACAGTAAATGTGATTTATATTAATAGAATTGTTCTAATATAACAAGAACTTTCTATAGATAAAATCTGATAAAATGTTTTGTTCTTTTGAATAAGAAATGGCAAAGTAAACAATATGATATTTTATAATACTTGTTGTGTCCATTCACTTATCAAGTAACACATCACACATCAACTTTATCTTATCTAATCCTCTATTAACTGATTCGCCTAACAAGATTCCAGATAACTGCTTTTCGTATATAAATCTACAGTAACCAACTTTATATGAATGTCACTTTGCTTATCCGTAGCTGTCACAGTAAGTAAAAACAAAACCTCTTATAAAAGATCAATATATAAACATAAAAAGTGGATTAAATGAAATTGCATTTAAAGAAAAGAAGTAAATTGCACATAATTAAGAAAAACATTAATTAGATAATAATAATTATTTCCTTTTATCATTCAATATAATCGCAAATGGAACAATCATAATTAAAAAGTTTAATATATTTTTCAAAATAATTTTTTTTGTTGCGTTACATTTATACATTTATTTATTTTATATACATATAAAAATGTACATTGTAATACATTCAATAGTAATTTCTTACGCGTGAATGTATTATATTTATAGATGAAGTTGACGTTAACGCTGTTTGCCGTCTTGGCCATTATCGGTCTGGGACAAGCTCGCCAATTCCCGGATTTTGGCAGTGGTCCCCTTCACGAGGATATTCATGACTTTTTGGACCTAATCCCTGCTCCAGAAATTAAGGCAATCATACTAGATTACGTATCAGAAGATGCTGAAGTACAAGAAGTTGTTAATTATCTTTTAACTTCGACTGTATTACGAGACCTGGTGGTAGATGTGGAAGCCATCCCTGAAGTGATCAACTTTCTGAACTATGTGCAACATGAAGGAGTCGATATTTATCTTCTAGTAAACCAAGTTAACAAAGTTCTTGGTATCGCTGAACTCATACCACCTTCTCATGCGTATTCTGCGAACATACAGAGGACCGGTGGGCTTGCAGGACTTTTTAAAGACATCAAGAAAGTGATCCCTTTTAACAAGTTCATTCGCAATTATGTGCATAAGATGAAGAGCTCTTCAGCCTTCATCGGCTTCATCCACCAACTCAGGTCCCCCAACTTTCAGCAGCTCGTAAACAAACTCTACCAGGTTAGATCCTTCCAAATCATCGTGAATGGGCTCAAAAGTAGAGGAGTGAATACGCAAATCGTAGCGGATGTCATGTACATAGTCCTCGGCATTACTGTACCGAACGGAATTCTTGTTCACCAGGAGCGTACACTGGATGACGAATTGATGGATTTTTTGGACCTTATTGAGGACCCGTTTATGGAGGTACTGATCAAGTATATGGCCGAAGATAAAAAAGTACAAGACGCTCTGGTATACATGTTTACACCTGAATTTCATTCCATTCTGCGTGACGTCGAAGTTCTTGAGGAACATCAAGCATTAGTAGCATATCTCGAGAAGGCTGGATTGAGTGTTGTCGATTATATCCAATCGTTGCACAAAGCCATTGGCATGGAGGGTTATGTGCCGCCTAAAATAGAGAGCGTTTTCGAATCTCAGGTTGGAATGCAGAAAGTCGGTGATGGAATGAAAGGAATGATCGAGGAACTTTGGGATACACTACCTATCGATGAGATTGACGCTCTTTACAAAGACAAGCTGCAGAATTCAAAGGTCTTTGCTGATTTTATCGAGAAGATTATGTCCCCGGAAATGCAGAAATTAATCGATAATTTGTATGGAAATCAAACTTATAAAAATTTTGTCACGACGACCAGAGAAAAGGGATTGGAATTACAGGAAGTAACGAAACTTACTGCTAGAATATTTGGTCTTAAGTTCCCATATTACAATTAATATATGTAATATTTTAAACGCGTATTTTAAACATGTATCCTCTTATTTTATGTCGTTATACATTGATGTAATGTATGTAATAGATGTAAAAATAGATGTAAAAATTGCAAATAATAATTTAATATTTACTTAGCTTTTTATTCTCATCTTTATGTTACATAAAACAAATAAAATAAAACAATTAAAACAATATATTGAGCAATGGCATTCTTGAATCAAACAATTATTTAAATAATTATGTAATTCAAGAATGCCATTGCTCAATATATTGTTTTAATTGTTTTATTTTATTTGTTTTATGTAACATAAAGATGAGAATAAAAAGCTAAGTTCGTTTTAAATACCAATATAAATAAGTTCTTCTTACATCGCTTTAACTTATAAATTTTAGTTTAATATAATTTTCTTAATATTCCAGTCTTAACTTAATACATAACTTTCTCCTTCAACTACTTACTTCTGTTTCGCATGTACTTTCTTTAAAATTAGTTTTGTGTCACAACAAGGCAACTTGCGGATAACAGCATACACAGGCATTTACATTGTTTCTACGTCAGCCAGCTATGTGTGATTATAATCATGTGATATTAAAAACACTTATTTATTCTAATAAAATTTTTAAATTTAGTAATAAATATTCGGTTGAATAATGAAAATATGTAGTAAATTTGTTTGTAAAAAGAGAGAGAAAGTGAATATATATCTTTAAAAAATATCACACTCCGAGAAGGATACTGTCAACTCAAAACATTTCGATGTCGAGTTAAGCCCATATTACGTTAGTTATTTCACAATTAAAAGAAATTTCAATTAAATTTGTTTTTTTTTTTTCTGAAAATTGTACATTTTTTAGTTGTGACAGTGTTCTTCTCGGAATACGATATGCTTCAGCACAAAGTAAAGCTCGCAGTAATGATAAAAAATAGAATATTAAGAATATATATATATATATATTTTTTTTTATAAAACTAACAATAAGTATAAAGTGTTGAAAGCGCAAATAATTAAATTAAACTTAAGAATTTTAAATTTATGTCATTTCAAGATTTGTAATATTAGGTAATGTAGAAAATAAAACGGTTTTAATGCGATTTTTATTTATTTTACATGTTTTTTATAAATAAACCAAATCAGAAACTTTGCCAGTAAATAATTAACAATAAAAATAGATTTTTCATGGAACGCTAAACAAGACTAATTGCAAATTATGAAATATCGTTGAAACTGATATCGATATAACGATTTATCGGAGGCAAAAGGTTATCGATAAATTTTTTATACTGTTCCACGGTAATATCGATATCTAGATATTATCGATTTATCCCTAGAGACATCTCTAGAGACATGTGGTGATATTTATCGCAATAACCGCGGTAAATATTTAAAGTTAATAAACCAGTAAGATCGATACCATTCTTTAGGTCAACGGTATGTATAATTAAACCAAATCAGAAACTTTTTCTTTTGCCAATAAATAATTAACAATAACAATTTTTTATTCGACCTAACTGGCCATTTTTATTAATTACAATTAACCTGACGTTTTGATCGTTGGTTTTCAATTATAATCGTCATGACGTTTTGACCATTGGTTTTGATCCTTCTCAATCGATGTATAACTTTTGATGCTAATAAACGTCGTTTTTTAAAAATAAAAAATTACTGTAAAGAATTTATTACAAAACATATCACTCTCCAGCCAGAATTGAAACCTAGACTTCCCTGCAATCCATGACGGGTGTCTTTATTCCAATTCGACCACTGAGTGCAGTGATATTTATCACAATAACCGGTAAATATTAAAATAAATAAACATCTTATTATTATAATTTACGATTATAATTGTTCAAAATCAATGGTCAAAACGTCGGTCGTGACGATTAGAATTAATAAAGATGATCACTTGAAAGAATCTTGATATTTCTCATATTTAATTACGATGCTAATTCATGTTTTATTTAAAATAATTAATCATTTTTAGTACGTAAGTAAACTTCTTTTAAGTAAACTTAAAAGTAAAGGGAATATATATTTTATTCTTAATGAATTTCTTAGTTTGTAATACAACATTACAAATCTTGAATAATTTTTTGAAATAAGGTCTATTAAAGCAATATTTAAATATATAAATTTTTTCGTCTTTAATACAATATAGGGACATGGGTAAAAAGAAAAAAGTATAGCACATCTATAAGAAAAAAAGCTTATTTATTATTTTGCATAAGTAAAGTACACAATTGCATGGCTGAATAGTTTATAACAATTTTTTGAGTGTTATAAAAGCGTTATTGACGCAATAGAAAAAAATTCTTTGCATGGATTTAATTATTTTTTAATATATAACGATGCCATCTCTAATATTGAACGACAGAATAGAAAGGAAGCTCGATGCCGAGGATAGTTTTCAGCAAGTCCCTGACGAGCTTAAGATCAATGTTCGCGTTTGCAGCGTGTCTCAAAAGCTCCTGGCATTTGGGGTGAACATAAACCTTGTTGACGAGTTGCTCGAAATTCGGGGACTTCAGTTGAGCGATGTAGTCTTGGAACACCGGGGAATTTTGCATCTTGGTTTTGTAAAGGTCGATAAGGCGAGGGATAACAGGATTAATGACGGCCCTGATATCATCGGCATATCCGCGGAGTCCACCAGTGATCTGTTTATCAACGGCGAAGTTGGCTTGGGTGATTCCGAGCCAGTTGAACAACATGTCTTTCAGTTTGTAAACGTCAACGCCGGCGTTATAGGCGTAGTCCATCAGAGCTTGCATCTCAGGTAGAACTTCGATGTCTTTCACGAGCTGCTTGAAGCCGTCGGATTTGAAGTATCGGATCATAGCTTGGAATTCCGCGTCCTGGGAATAATACTGGAGGGTGATTGAAGCTATTTCTTGCTGCGGCAAGAGGTCCAAGAAATCTTGAAGCTCTTTAGCAAGTTCACCTCGGCCGACATTGGGGATTCGCCATGCGGTGGACGTAGCCACGAAGGCCAGCAATGCCAATGTAAATTTCATCTGCGAAAATAAATTTTGCTTAGATTATTGACGTCTTTAGAGATACATTATAATTATATATGTTGTACGTTGTAGTTATATCTTATTATGTTTATGGCATAATAATTGTGCATAACGAATTTTATATTGGGCTAAGACTAATTGTAAGTAGTCAATAAAAATGATTTTATCAAGTTAGATTTACTTATGGATCATTAATAAAAAGTATTTTTGATTACATTTATGGCCTATATAATTCTAAAATAACATTTTTGAAATATATTGGTTAGATATTTATTATACTAACTGCGTTTTATGTATGGTTTTATATCTGGTATCGAATTTATGGTATTGCAAATGTCACTAAATTTTTATCGTATATTGCTGATTAAACTATATCATATCAAATTAATCTACTTAAAATATAAATAAGTTGTTATTTTAATTAATCACTTATTAATAAAATAAGAATAAGTTATTTTTATGATACAAGACAAATAGTAAAATAATAACAGTACTTATAAAATAAATGTGAATATTAATCTGAATTCCATTCCTAATCGATTATAATATAAAGTAGCCATATCTTTGACAAAATATTTGTAAAATATTAAAATAATATACTTAAAACAAGTTTTGAGTAAATAACGTTTAATTCTTTATGCATATTATATAATTTCTAATTATTATAAAGAAAAATAGTTTTGTATAATGCTAAAATAGAGAAATAGAGAGTAATAATATTATCCAATTCTTACATATATTTTTACATATAATCTGTAGTTATTTAAATTACATACACAAAGTGCTTAACTAATGACGATGTCGGTACTCACCTTCGAAGTATTGCTATTGTGATACTTCTTGTGATTCAAGAAAGTGTGCATTACGGTTTCTGCCGCTGGTTTATATACACACGAAGCTATAACCCTTGTTCCTGCGATTCATGATAAGATTATGTATAAGATAATCTGAATGCATGTATAGATAATCTGAATGTGAGAAAAGTAGATATTTTTAAGCCTATATCTTTTTTTAAATTTATAGAAAAAATATAAATTACGTATTTTTTTAATTTGTCTTTACATATTTGATAATTATGAATAAGTGTATATGTGTATATAGAATAATTACCATATGAATTATTAATATAAAAGCATCCGGTAATTTGATGTAACGTACCAAGAAATTATGATTAATATTCCGGACATTTAATCGTTGATAAATTACAATTTTAACATATTTTTATTGTTATTTTAATTTTATTGGGTTCCAAAATATCTCGTGTTTAAAATCTCTTAATTTTACATGATAAAAAAACGAAAATAAAATTTAAGGTGGAAATATCAGGCAGATTCGAGTATCAAATCATAATTAAATATTGACTTTAAGATATCTAATGATTGTATCAATTACTGGGCGATTGTCTCAGCATTAGATTATAATAAAAATATAAATCATAGCATGATAAGATGTACTTAATATAATTAAATATATAATTGAAAAAAACTGTTTTTGCTATTTATTAGGACAAGTCTAGAAAAAAATGGATTTTCTGAACAGTTTTATAATATCTTTTACATTAATCTAAAAAATAAAAAATTTTGAAATATTGTACTTCACATTTCTTTGTGATATTAAATTTGATTTTGTTATTTTTTTATTATTATATTAAGATTATTAAAAGAAACGTAAATAAAATCAATTTGTAATCTTTCTTTCAAAATTCAGTCGATAAGATGTAAGTAGGTTATCATGAAAAATTAACCATTGCTCCCTGTTATTCATAGCGTACAGGTGCTACAGATTTCAGTAAACTGCTTTTATCTCCTGAATGCTGCGTGATAAAAGTTTCCAATGACTCATATTATCTTAAAATAGAGAATCTCTATAATTAATATAAAATAAATATCTGATAAAAAATTATATTACATTTTATAAAATAATTTTTTTAATGCATTTTATTTCATAATTTTGTTAAAATAAAAATATTTAAAAATCTTTGCCAAATTCTTAAAAGGATGGAGAAAAAGACAGAGAAAGTGATAAGAAAAATAGTTTATAAAGAAAATATAACATATACCTACGTATAACTGATTTTAATAGATCTAGGAGACAACTGTTGGTATTCGTTTAATTTTCTTTGTTTATACAAATAAACATGGATACTTTATTATTTTGCACTTAATTTTGCTAAGAATCGATTCAAAACTAGCCATTTCGAATCACATTCTCGTTACAGACCCAAAATACTTTTTAATTAACTTTGAAAAGTTTTATTTTTCGCAACACTGTTGCTGTTTTGAAAGATGGATTGACTCCGAACTTGTTCAATAAAAAAACTCGGGTATTATCGTTGCGTTTTCGTTAGTACGCTTAAAGTTTTGCCGATCGTAAGAGAAAACGGGTCATGCACCATGTGCTACGAATGATTCTCTGGAGGACTTTGGAATAGGCTCGCGCCTATTCGATAAATATGAAAAGATGATGTTAGCGCAGGTGGCACTAATTTAAAGAAGAGAAGCTAAAAGATGCTTGAGTCGGTATCCGGTTTTTCGTGCTGGAGATGAAAAGAATACCTTTAATTGCGAGGTAGCTACGCTTAGGCACGAAGAAAGCAAAACTGCAGAGACGGCATGAAACGGGAGAAGGGAGAGTGTGGAGGCCAACGGTGCTTCCCTAATTAAAATTGTTACAATTTAATAAGCTTCGGAACTCACCATTGGCGCGTCGTAATGGGAAGTCGTGAGAAGAATAAGTGAGATAGAACGAAACGAGGGAGAGAATTCTGGGAAGGGGAATAAGGGAAAATCGGACGCTTAAACGAGCGTCTTTGAGGGTTGCGGACAAAGAGGCTGCACGAGGGTGAGAAAGGGAAAGGAAAGAGACAAAGGGGAAGAGGCGTAAGGGTGCAGAGGAGAAATCGTCTTCGCGATCTCTTAACTTTTCCACTCAATATGGAGCGTGAACTATATACTTTATTTCCTGCGATATAGCTTTTGCAAAAGGTTTAACGCGATTTTATGATTTTGCTGCCATTTTCTTTCATCATTGAGGTGCAATTACTAAGTACAAGAAAAATTATGTACAACATTTTAATTAAATAACTTATAAGAATATTACATTAATTCTTTTATTTTTGCGTTGTTCAAAAATTTTTGTGCCAAAAATGTGTAAATCTTTACAGCTATTCTCTTAATTGTTACAGAAATTAATGAATTAATGCTGTACTATTACATTTGGAGTTTTTATGAGTATAATATAATATAGAATAGAGTTACAATAATAATATTATTAACAACTAATATTTATAACAACAAATTTATAAATATAAATTAGTTGTTAATAATATTGTTATATTGTAATAATTTTTACAAAAATCAGTTTACAAAACATCTAGCTGTTAGATGAATTTCATTTTTAAGGAAAAAGAGAGACATCTCAGAGTCTTCTGTATCGCAACACTATGTTTAATTGGCAATAGCGGTAACATCGGTTTCATAATTGTACTTTGGAGGAGATCTCCGTTTCCTTCGAAGTTCCACCTGCACAACGGCGAGTCATATCAAATTATTTTCTCCTGCTGGCCAGAAAACTTTTGCCCGATATTATGGCGGCATGTGGCGGTAACAGCCTGCCGTGCCGGTTCTATCGTTACGGACGTAACGGCCTCGAGGATTTTCACAGTAAAACAAGAAGAACCAACTAAGAAAATGTGTTCGGAATTGCATTAAGGCGGCTTTTGCCGCTGGGCAGAATCCCGCGAGTAATCCCGGTGCTCCGATCATAGCTCTACCGGTATACGCAATAACGGATGCGAAACGCGTATATAAAAATGCATTTTGGAATCTTGAGATTCCAAATTGCATAGAATTGCAAGATGCTACAAAAACGGTTATTTTATAATAGTTTATAATACCGGGCCATTAATTTGTGAACATTCACAAAAAAATAATCTTGCATAAAGCTTCACGCATATTATGTAATTTTTTAAATCGGTAATTAATATTTTAAACATTTTTCTTCACATATAAATACATATAAATACATATGAGCTTTACATAAACATACAGACATATTTAGTTGTTTCAAAACTTATATATATTTTCTATGATAAAGACTTTTGATTTTTCTAAGAGTTAAAAAGTCGGTTAAGTCGGTATTATAATTTCACTGTATAGAAATGATTATTTAATTACATATTATGTGCATAAACAATATAATTCTTTATCATAATTAAAGTGTAATAAAGATTTATTTATCGCCAGCGATAAAAATCATTATCTTCGAAGAAATAAATCATTTGTGCCACGTGCAGTACCGTTTATGAGCATAAAAATATGGCAGCAGATAATATTTTGAACGCTGATTTAAAGGACGATAAACATTATATATATTATTTTATACTAACATTATATATATATATATATATATTTTTTATATTAAATGTATATTATTATATATTTAATATAAATTATTATATTTAAAATATATTGTTATTAATATATTATTATATTTTTATCATTGAGCTCCATTAATATTATATGTATATACATATAAGTACATATTACATAATCGCATTCATCGCATTTGCATATATAAGCTTGATTCTATGATATAGAAGATAATTTTGAAATCAAAATTTATCTTTATAATTATAAAATTATATAATAGCTGATATACAAAAACAGGCTTTTCAGAAATTTTAAATTTGAAGCAACGCTTTTATTACTCTTTGTATTTATTACCTATTTTTATTTTTATTAATGCATATTTATTTAAAGCTATAATTTAATATTTGATAGTTATACATTTTTATCATACAAATCAAGTTAATAGACTTAGCAACTAGATTATCTATAAGCCAAAGTTCAATGTTCATTAACTATATATTCATCGATCACTTTGCAGATGTCAACAAAGATTCATACGATATCTCTGTGAATCATTAATTGACAGCTTAAATCTGCTTAAGAAAACAGGGACAAATTTCAACCGACGAAGACATCATCGGTTTTTACCAGTATGTATCAATATGAAATCAGATAAAGTAAATCTCGATCATTGTTCGCTCAAGTATTGTTCGCGTATATATCATCAAATACATATCTCTTGGTTTTCCCGTTCGTAAAATTCTTCTTTATTGAGGCGCGTGCGATCGATTTCCAAAACGAATGAAAACGAGTGCCAATAAAGGCGTGGAACGAGGGTGCCACGGCGGACGAAAAAATTTGTGTTTTACGACACGTTATCCGACGGCGACATCGGGAATTGGTGACCGACTAAACTCGGCCAATCGGAAGTATCTCGTGTTTGATGGCGGAAAAAAGTCCGGCAACTGCGCGGCGGAGCAAAGCGTTCTTTTACTCCCTTTAGTGTTACGTTCGTGTTAAGTTGCTTCCCTTTCAGGGAGGCTCGCGCGAACAAAGAAAGACTCTGGGACGATTCTATGGTGCCAGAGAAGCGCGCGAGAGGTTGCCCGCTAGAAAGTGGCAGAAAAGGTGGCCGTAACAAATCCTCCGCAAGTAATCGAGGTCGTGCCTCGGCAAGGTTTTACTCTCGAACACTTAACTCTATTGCGATTGGATTCTCTGGCTGCCTGGTGGAGCGCGCACACTCCACCGCGTTCTGTTTCGTTTTCTCGCTGCTTACCCCGCCGCTTTCGCCTCTCGTCGCCGCGCTCGCCGCCCCCTTTGTCTCTTTCTGTACCGCGCTCCTCGACCACCTATATCGCGGAACACCTCGGTGGTTTCTTACACGTGGAAACCTTATTACAGGCGACACGATAAAATACCCCCGAGACGAAGGAGACCGTTGCTCGAGTGCCGGCACCACTATGAACTCTGACAGGGCGCAATGGGTAGGGTACGATACAACGAGGATTGTACCCTG